CACACACACACACACACACACACACACACACACACAAACACACACATTCAGGGCAGAGCAGCAAAGGTTCAGCCGCATACATTTATCTCTTAAAAGTCCTAATACAAAACACAGAACAGAGCCAAAAACACACACACACACCCTAAAAAGAGCTTCCCAATGAGAAACAAATTCTGTGAAAATGATGAAAGGCAGGTTTTTTCATAACACACGCACATGGTGACACGTGTGAAGTATTTCTTTACAATTTCAGGTACTATTTGCACACAAAAATAGAACAAAATACACACACATTTTAAAATGTCTAATGGCAAATAGTAGGAGGGATGGAGAAGAAAAGATCTAACTCTCTTTTATTAATCTGATACACAGAAGCTTCGGTTCAATAAATCAGCACACAGAAGCAGAAATTTCACTGTATCTGGACCGCCACACACTGATGTGTGGGATCTGGCGCTTAGCTGGGCAGCTCATAACCTTGTGTACTTTGAGCTTGTGTGTGCGTATGTGAGAGAATCATGCCTCTATCATTACTCAACTTGTTCTGTTCCCAGTAGAACGCTGAAAGCAACTTCTGGACGGCCGCACGGATGGACCCACACACTTCTTTCAGAAGTGACGTCAATGAATAGATCCTGCACTACAGTCAAGTGTCTCCTTGCTAAAATGCCGTTCATTTATCAAAACGCTTCCCTGCTGGGCTTCTGTTCCCCTGACGCTTCACTGCAGACGGCCTCTCCTGGTTTCCTTTCCCGTCTCCGTCTCTCTCTCTCACACTCCATGTCCTTGTGATCAATAACATGACCTCTGCTGCAATCATCTACTTGTCTTGCTGAAACTACAGAGGTGTCCCCTGGGATCATATGGGGACAGAAATGCTTTCCGAAACCAGCAGGACTCAGCGTGAGTGTCTGAAGTGGGTAAATTGGGTAAAGTCGTGCCCGGTGTTCTGAAACCTTTCAGAAAAGAAAAAAAAAAAATCACATATCTCATTAATATCTCGGTGGTTTCTCCTAGACAGCAGTCTCCTAGACAAAGCAAATGGAGACTTTTGCTTAACTGTCTCCAGAAAAGATCTCAACAATGTCACAAACTGTGCCAGCTGTGGCCTGCAATCAAAAGTCAGAAAAGCCAACAAATTTCTGATTAAATTCTGCAGAGAGCAATTTATGTGGGCTTTGATATTCATATTAATTTTACAGCTCTATACTCTTACTTCATGTCAACAAGTGTTTGCTGAACCGTTGAATCTACAAAGCCACAGCAAAAGAAATTATATTTTATCTGAGTTATGAGTTTGCAGTCTGACTTGAATGTGATGAGATAAACAGACCGGGTACCATAAAAATAATACTAAAACAACGCATGCAATCTCCCGCACACAAAAACAAATAATACAACGTGGCCAGTGTAGTTCAATTCAAGAACAAATGACTCTTATGAGCCTGTTCCCTTTAATAAAATGCTCGAAAGTTCAATTGTGGGTTTGAATCTACTAACAAATTGCTACCTGAATCCATCAAAGAGATTATATAATTAGTATTGTGTACCATGCATTTTAAATAAATAAATATAAACAATAATATAAATTAAAGAATTTAGAATTAGTATCTTATCAGCAGTTTGTGTATCTGCAATCTGTTATTTATTAACTAGGAGCTCCATTAAGCCTCCTGTGTTATAAAAGAGTAACTTGAGACCAATAAAGGTTTTCCCTGATCTGCCTCAGTGTGTCGGACAGGGTCTGCAGGACTTGTGTAGCATGTTGTTAACTAGGATGGGGTCTAACGCTCTGGCGGCTGAGATCAGCTTCCAGCTTTTACAGTTCAAATCACACTGTATGTGCTGTCAGATGCGTCACAGAATTCACACACCACTTCGTTTCATCCGCTACTTCTTTTCACTCTCTTTTTATACTCCTCGAATCACAGTTATTCTGTCTCTTTCATCTACACTAAGATTTTAATACTACTACTGTGTGTATAAGTGTGTTTGTGAGCGAATGTGTGTATGAGAGAGAGACAGGGATGGATAAAGATGGAACCAAAAAGAGAGATGGAAAGAAAGATGGATAAACCTTTACTTTGATCTACAGAAGAAGTGAAAGTGAACATCATTACTCTCTTTGGCCTGATGTGTGAGTGTATAATTCATAAACCCAAAGACCAATGATCTGAAAGACTCGCTCGCTTCTCTCAGAGCCAATTCCTCTGGACATGACACATACTGAGAGACTGTGCCTTTATTAGACCTAAAGATCGTGAGGATGCTTTTACTGGCAGACTGCTAACACAGCACACCCAGATGGAGGAGTTATTGGTCTACAAGAAGGAAGGTTCACATACACAAACCTTTGAGAAGTGAGGCATATTTGTTACCACAGTGCTTTACTGCTGTAATTATGGCATCCTGTAAAAAGAACAAACTTTTAAAAGGGCCATATTCTGCACTTTTGTATCAGTTTTTTGTTAGTCAACTTTCCTTGCACCATTTTGCACACTTTCTTTGATCCTAGGAAAAAAATCCTGTTTTCCATGATATGACTTCTTAAATTGTAACTCTTTAATTTAAACTATCAAATGCATCTTATTCTGGCTAAGGGATGCCCACTTATTCAGAAAGAGGGCATTTCAGACATATAAAGAGACCAATCACAATCAATTTTGTTTATCTGAAATAGATGAAATAACGGGTCATCTTGGGAAAAGAAAAATAATAAATAACGTCTCTCACATCAGTCTCAGTCCATGAATGGTTGTATGGAGAACATTGGGAAAAAAGAACAGTAATGTAGACTTTCGTCAATAAGTAACAAGTACCAATCATTTTACAAACATAAATACAAATGTTAAACAGTGTCAACTGGAGTTACACTTGCTCACTACAACACCTCCAACCTGGCAAACTTATTAGTTTTTTCCCTGAAAATTATTTATTACATCAGCCAAGTACCTTATAAGCACCTCGTCTCTCAGAAGCTGCATGAAGACAGCCAATTAGCATCATGCAATACGCATCAGAAAAAAAGCATAAAAACTTTAGGAACATAGCAGGTAAAGAAAGAAAAAGAGAGCGATAAAAAAGAAATACAAAACGTCTAATTGGCTTTAGATACACTGGCATTTAAATGTGCAATTCTCCAAATAGGCAAAGCTCTGCACTGCCTCAAGCATTCTTTTATTATTCTACGAATAATTATTTTTCTTTCACCTGCTTAAAACTGATTTTCAGGGGAGCAGTGCTCATTTCCAGCCTTATGTTTAGCAAGTCATTGGAGATGTTTTCATTGAATTAGACCACTGATGTAACCAGCACCAGCACTCCCAAACTGAACACCACATCTCATCTGAAAAACAT